ATTGAAGGGTGAATATGGTAACTTGATTGAAAAGGGTATCATCGATCCTACAAAGGTATGTAGTTTTATGCAACACTATTGATGCTATTGGTATTAACATTTTTATTTCATTTTCAGGTTGTGCGTACCGCAATCACAGATGCCTCTGGCGTTGCTTCACTTTTGACTACCGCTGAAGCCGTAGTAACAGAGTTGCCCAAGGAAGATGCTCCAGCTGGCATGGGCGGCATGGGTGGTATGGGCGGCATGGGAGGCATGGGCGGTATGGGTGGCATGATGTAAATAAATGTTACGCAGTTCTAATTCCTCCTTCAGCTTTTTTATCTTGTAATAATTTGTACGTAGTACAACTACTTATAATTTAATTTTTAATTTTAACATTTATATATTAATAATTAAAATATGTTTTAATGGTTATTTCTATTTTTACATGTTATATATGTAAATGAATACAAATCCAAATACAGTTTAATTCGTGTTAGTTGTAAAAATGAAATGAAGGAAATAAGTGTTTTCTTTTTCGAGTTACTATACTAGTGAAAATTGTAGCATATGTTTATTTCAGAGTCGGAGTACTTTTATTGGATATTTTGTTCTTGCTTCAGTACGGAATACGTGAAGTTTTGACGTCCTGGGTCCGTAAAACTTGAGTTGCTCATCATTCAATGTAGAATAGTAAAAACGGGGCTATGGAAAGCTAAAATTTATGGTATTCTGTTGTCTAGAGGTAGGAAATATTCCTGCAGGAAGTTTTCGTTATATATCTAAAATATGTTCCGTCGCTCTTGCTTTTATGTGTGTCACGCTAAAATCATGTTATCCTAATCGGGAATTGGTTACTTCAACACGATAAATGCATGTTATCCGTCACATCCATAGGGATTTAAGGGGAAATCGTCGATAACGAACTTGAACACCGTGCATCAACAGATAGTAAATAGCTAAATATGAAATAACTTCCTAAACGCGTGCAGAGTATCCCAATTTAATGTCGATGTTGTGTGCGTTTAGACCAGTACTCAGCCGAAATTGACATCGGTTTGCTAATTGATGCTTTGTCTTGGGTATTTGATCAAAGTGCAATCCATAAACATTTTGGTAGGTGTGCCATATATTTCTCGACACCTAGATAGAACGTACTGCTCCTGGTAATGTAAATATATTCAACTGTCCCTCCGCATTCACTATTCCGAACTTACTTGATTCTTTTAGTAATGAAACAATAACAACACAGAATCCAAGGCCATAATGGGGGGAACCAAGAAGACATTTTGGGGCTGCTAGCACCGCCATTTAAATTTACTGCTGTCAGGCTGTATCATTTAATTGCTATCTAAAACAAAGGTCAAATTCTGTCAGAATCGAAGGCGATTTGTAAAGAACTATTAGTGTTTTAAATTAAACGCTGTATTCGTTTTAGTAACAAAATATATTTATTAGGAACCCCACCCAAAGAATATAGATCATTAAGAGTTGGCCAACAGTTGAGCTGCTATAATTTCTGCATCATCAAGAGTAAGTTTTGATGTTACGTTCGATTTTTTCTTTACTGGTTCGGAGAAATCTTCGTCGCTTTCCTGCGTATCGCTATCTTCACTGGTGTCACTGCTACGTGCATGCTTTCTATAAAGTTTTGTTTGTTTTACAGATGACATATCCGCGTCAGAATCGGCGTTCTGATTGTTCTTGTAGACTTTTGAAGGATCGGGAAGCCAAGATAAATCAACGGAATTGTCACTTTCATCACCATCGCCATCATCATCATAGTCAACGCCTTCATCTGCGTCAGATCCTTGTTGTTCTTCTTCATCTTTTTTCTTCAGCTTTTCCTTGAGCTTTTTATGTCTTTGCTTGACAAGTGAACGGAATCGTTGTTTGTCGAATTTATCTTCTTCTTGTAAAAGCTGCTTGGCCATTTCAATATCAATACCACCCATTTCACCAAGTTTACTTTCGTATTCCTTGGCAAGTTCGGATTGTAACTGTTTGCGTGGATCGGCAATTTCATGACCCTCTTCGTCGAACTTGACCTTTTCATTGACTTTTAGATTTTTCTTAAGAGCTTTTTTGGCCAGAGCTGCTTTGGTAATGAGTTTTTCTTTTTTCCTCAAAACGGGTGGAGGAAGTTCCTCATCATCATCGTTTCCGCTCGTTTGTTGTTGGTTGTCGCCTTTGATATCATGATTTGCCCTTTTTATTTTGATAAAATCATCTCCATCAGAATCTGAATCACTTTCGGATGCCTTAAATAAAACGTCGTTTGAAGGTTTGTTCTCATTCTTTGTCCTTTCCTCGTCGTCAGTGTCAGATTCGCTTTGAGTCCCTGTTTCATTCGCCTTTTTCTGTTTCTTCAAATAACGATCTAGGAAACGTACTCGTGGTGTCACAACTAGACCCAGTGATTTGGCATATGCATCGAAATCCAGTGACATAACATTAAATACTTTCTTATTCTTCATTAGGAACACCGATTTTATGTACGCCACAAAGGCCCGTTGGGCCGAAGCTTTTAATTCTGTATTTTGAGCTAGGTATGCCTCAATTTTTGCTCGCGGTGAAAAAAGTTTCTTTGGATCGATTAAAATTTTACGTACTGAAATTGATTTTTTACCGAGTTCCTCTATCATGCCTTCCTCTTCAGATGGCAAAAGAACCAGCAGGGATTCCCCACGAGTTTTGTTACGCGCCGATCGTCCGGCACGATGTATATACTGGGTTACATCCTCGGGACAGTCCAATTGCACTACCCAGTTGACAGATGGAAAATCTAGGCCTCGCGAAGCTATATCGGTGGCAAACAAAACAACATTGCTTTTCTTCACAAAGTCATTGTATATGGCAATCCTACGGTCTTGGTGGAGGGTTCCATACAAAGCGAGCAGGCTGGTACCCGGCCTCAGTTTACAGAAGATTTCAAATATAAACTTAACTTGTTTACAACTCGAGAGGAAAACAATTATCTTCTGTTTTAGATGATTCTTAATAAATGACCATAGCATTGTGATTTTGTCTTCTAGAGAAACCACGACATAATTCTGTTGCAGAAGATCCGGCACAACTTTCGGGATAACGCTGCTTCCTTCCTGCTTTGCTTGCGGTTGGCCAACAAAAACTGGATTTTTTAGATTAAGGCGCGCCAAATCCTTAACTGAACTTGTTTGCGTGGCGGAGAAGAGCAATGTCTGTCGGTCAGGTGGAAAATTTTCGATTATGGCATTCAATGTTTGTTCGAAGCCCATGTCAAGGCACCTGTCCGCTTCGTCCAACACTAAAACTTCCATAGTAGATGCATTAAACAGCGGATTCTCGTCCATATGTTGTAGGAGACGTCCAGGGGTACAGATTAAGATGTTGCATTGATCCATTCGTGAACGTTCGAACTTTAAGTTCTTACCACCGATAATCAATCCAGCTGAGAAGTCGTGGTGTTTTCCCACCTTCTTTAACGTTTCGAAAATTTGATAAGCTAACTCCCTAGTCGGTGATATAATAATAGCGGCAACTCCGTCTGAGCGACTCCATTTGGCCACATATAAATGTTCCAGCACCTGTTGATGAAAAAATTAGCAATCTAAAATGGAGTAAAATTATACCAAAGTCGACTTGCCGGAATTAAAAATGCCAATGTTTTACCACTGCCTGTTATCGCTGCTCCCAGAACATCTCTACCTTGGAGAGCTGGTGCAATGCTCAAACGTTGAATCTCGGAGGGCTCGGTAAACTTGGCATCGTTCAAGCCCTTGATCGTCTTTTTTGAAAGCGGGAATTCACTGAAGCGTTTAATGGCTGAAACATCCTTTGACGACAGCTCATCGTACTGGGCCTTCAAACTCTGAATTTCACTGTCCAATAAATCTCTTTGAGAAATTGGTTTCGTTTTCTTTGGAAACGCACGTTTTTCTTTCATATCGAATGTGTGTATTGTGATACTGTGTCGGTCCGAAATGAACAAGTCCAAACTAATTTATTCTTTGGAATGAACTATCGGAATTAGATGCAAACCTTCTGTTCATCTAGTTCATTCACTTGATCTTGTTAATTTAGTTCCAATCATGGCTCAATAGGAAACTAGGAAGTGCAAATCTGTACGGAAGTCTATAGTGTGAAACATGGTACAATAAAAAGGTATGGTAGAGCTACCAGCTGATTACAATTTTTTTTAAGTGTGCCCGACTTCTGCCATTTTTGTAAATGTATTTATTGTTTTGAAAAATAAAAACCAAATATTTTCAAAATCAATGAATGGAAGAAGCTTAAATTGCGGGGCGCTCACTAATGATATTAACCAGATTTGCCACGGAATCGAAAGATTGAAAACTTAGGATCATATTTTTGAGAAAATATCCAGACATTTCATTCATCTTTCGAGCTATTTGACTCATTTTAAAAATGAACAAAAAATATCAAATAAATGAAAACAACAGTTGGATATAATTTTGAATTATTCTGACAGGAAGCGGGCATAGCCTCAGGGCTGTATTTCTGTAGTTTTACGAAGCTGTTCTACCTCCTTATTGTACCATGGTGTGAAATAGACTTTTAAACATGCAACAAGTGGTTTTGTTTATTTTACATTTTTTCACAACTTTAATACATTTGGGGGAAAACCACAAGACATGAATTCGATATTGGGGTTTTTCCACAAAAATGAATCCAAGATAGAAGGAGAATATTGTTTTACCCTAAAATTATACATTTTGTTGCTTGTAAATGTGGAAAATATGCATTTCTGTTGTCTCTAAAGTTAAAATACGTTCAATTTTTTTCTTTTTGATTCGAAACATTGTTTTGTGGGTAGGTTTGTTCTACTTTCTGTAATTGTGCCATGGTACAGGAACAAAAATGTTGACATTATGAAGGTTTAGTGTATTTAATAAGGTGTAATTGACAATTATATGGTTTTTAATTTTTTTTATTTTTGTTTGTGAATAACATTATCAAATATATGTTTTCACATTGCCTTGCTTTGAACGTTACTTTTTCCCATTAAATATTATATATTTATTTATTTTTTTAAATCAACACCCTAACTTGCATTCATCTTCTACTTATCAAAATTCGAAAGTGTATTTTATGCAAAAAGAAAGAAGGTTGCGGAAATGGGACCTTTTTTACTGTCCTTTTTTTGCTGTGACCAATGTAGGGAGACACATGGCTCAATAAGAAAGATTGTTTAACAAAATTGAAAAAATGTATTTAGGGGGTAGCTTTGTTCTACCTTCTGTAATTGTGCCATGGAGACAAGCTTCAGTTCGGTTAAATTACAAATTGAAGAGCGGTATGTGTATGATATGTAACCATAAAGATTTTATTCATATTACTTATTAAGGCGGAGCAAGGAAATTCCGTTGAACGAAGGAATTATTAAGGCATCTATAAATCTTATGAAGCAATCAGAAGATGAAAAAATTGTACTATTGCCATGGACGAAAGAAATGTATGAATATGATGCTGACGGTTGTATCATAGTAGTTCTTGCAAGTGGAATAAGGAAGTCGTGGAAACAACCAATTTTTTTAATCAGTTTGTCCAATGACGTAGGTTATACTATAATAACTGCATAATGCAGGACATGGGACATTCAAACAGAAAATTGTTAAAATTCATTTATAGTTTTTGTTGTTTGGTTTAAATTTGTATTAATAAAACGTTGTGTAAGAGTTGTCTATTTTAAAAAATAATAATTTTACGCACCAACATATCCAATAATACAAACAGCATTAGCATCACCAGTGGTAGATTTAAGATGGAATGAATATGTATACCCCTACATCTAGGAAATTTCGACCCAACTTAATTAAGAATTCTTGATTTAGTAACATTTTCTCCTAGTATGTAGATTTAAGCATATCAAGTCACTATGGTTACGTTGATCACGCCATAAAAACGAATGTTATCGTCATAATTTAATATAGAGTTATATTGCAAATTTATTTGATTTTAAAATACAGATAGTTATTTAAACAATGTGTACAATTTAGGTAATGTCTCTTAAGATATAGGATCTCAAATGAACTACTTCACCACCTCAATTATATTCCATCGCTTCATTTTGATGGCAGCCCACTGGCTAGTTATTCTAGAGAAATTTTATGACAGGTTTCATTGATTTAATACCTTTTTCGGGATTGTATACGGCAATATTTAAAATGGCCCGTTAAACATTTTCTCTCCCATTGGCGGCATCATATGTTTTAAATACCTTTTGTGTGGTTATACAATTACAGAAATGCACCTACTCGGAAGTCAAAACGACCACTTGCATTCCATAAGGACTTTCGAAGGTCCAGCGTCGAAATCACTTAGACATTTTGTTAATCCTAACTACGTTTTAAAAGTGCTGTTGTGCCATTATTGGTCATTATTTGTTCCAATTTGTTTACCTAAACTTTTGTTTTGTTATTTGTTTTTCATTCAAACTAATTGTTAATATGACAATTTGCATAATACACCTTGGTTCGGCTCATGGCATATGGTCTGTTTCAGAACTGTAAGAATGTATAAATGTTTACTACGATAAGCTGTTTTTATTTTATGCTACCGAAAAAATTGCAAACCCAGTACATTCTTGCAGTTTTCTAGGAACAGAGCAATTGTATCTATATTAAAAGTTGTGAAATAACTGACTGAGGATCGACGTCCAGGCGAAACGGGTCAGTCTACTTATTCTAGAAAAAATTAGACCATGGTTTAATAATGAGGTAAAAAAGCTAAAAGTACAGAAATACAGCCCTGAGATTCATTCAAAATTGTATGTAACAAGTTGTTTTCATTTGTTTGATAAGTTCCTTATATCTGAAATAAGACAAATGGGAACAACTCTAGTTTAGTAAAAACTCTTCGATTTTTTTGAATTTTTTTTTCAGAGGTAGGTTATTTTACCCTGATTCCGGGCAACTTTTTTTTTTCTTAGGGGACGGACACGGTGCCCCATATTTTTGACTCAAAAGTCCGGGTTCAAGACCAGGGCTGGACCCGGATCCACTTACTCGATATAGACAATATAGGCATCATTTGAAAGCTTTTTTGGTTGATACCCATAATGGGCAATTTTTCGAAATATTGGGGGTTTTTTAAAAGATCCGGGACCAAAAAAATCGATAATTTGACTATAACTTCCGAACATTTAAAATGACCCCATCATGTGATCACTTGTTGGATAGGTATTTTCATAAGCTTTCCAACGGGTCAAAAATCTGGGAATCAGGGTAAAAATACCTACTATACCTTTTAATGCGCGCGTCGCAAATTACTTTGGTTTCAATCATTGATTTTCAAAATATTTTGTTTTTATTTTTCAAAACAATAAATACATAAAAAATGGCAGAAGTCAGGCACTCTTAAAAAATTGTAATCGGCTTGTAGCTATCTTACCTTTTTAATGTACCATGAGAGCAACTGATTTCGGATAACGCCCATTAAACAGGTAATATAAGTCACAATGAAAAACTACAATTGAAATTAAAAAATCTCATACTGTCAAAATGTCTGTTTTCGTTTCAGCTAGTTTGTCAAATAATAAAACATGTATTTTAATTATTTAAAAATAAAATTATTCTAGATTTTATAACTTCTAAACTCATATCAAAATCTACATTACAGTACACAGAATTAAAGTCAACACACATTTTACTAAGAGGTTCGCGCATTGAATAATTCATGCGGTAAAATCGGTATATAATAATTGGTAGCATCTACTAGATCCAAACCTAACATTAATTCTAATATATGAGATTAGGAAATCTGAAGGTATATTACCATTTTTAGTACACACATGAAGTTAAACATAATACGTCTGCTTTTAAGTGAAGGCAATCTAATTAATTTTAGTCTGCTAGCATAAGAAGGCAAAACAAAATTACTATTCCAATGTAATTAGCAGAAATTGTTTTTGCACGGATTCTATTTTATCTGAGTATATTGCATATTGAGGATCCCATACAACAGAACCGTATTCTAAAATATGTTAACAAGGGACTAGGCCTTTCCAGGCCAGGGAGTAGATTCTTGTTCTATGAAAATATGAAATGAAAAATATTCCCCGTATAAAATTTTTCATTTGTCATTTCTTTCCTTTATAAAAGTTTTAATTTCACATTTTTACAGAACAAGAATTGAGGCCCAGATACCACAAAATTTGTTTTTTACTATTTTTTTAAAAAAAATATGTCGTTATTACAATAAAACATGGTACAATTCTATGCAAAACAGTAGATCTAGACTAATCTTCTAAATCGAATATTGTTATTTATCAAACAAAATATATTTTCACATCTGAATGACAAGGTGAATATTTTACAAAATTAAGAAATAATCTTTTAATTTAAAACCTAGATGACATTACATTAATGAATATTATTATCAATGGAAGCAACATTTTCAGAGGTACTGTGAAGGATAGAAATGCAAATGTATCTGCGTACTCGATATTTTACAACAATGATATTTTCTCAAGAAAATCGTGCTGATAAAGCCTAAATTTAGGAAAATTTGTTAAAAACCCGCTCTTCTCGAAACTCAACCTATAAGCTGGAATCAAAATGTATCACCCCTATTGAAGTCGTAAATCCGATCTGCAGATTGTTGATAGCTGAGTACAAGATTAAGAACTTTGCTATTTTTGCGATTGATGCATCCGTATTAAGTTTTTTTAACTGCACATTTTTGTTTATTTTAATTTTATTTCACATCGTATTGTTTGGGGAGCTGGAGGACGGAAGAACAAGATTCTGAATTTTACTGAACGGTCTCTTAAATTCCAACCTAAAGGCCGTATTTTTACGTCACTGTTACTAACAATTTGGACATTTCATGGTATATTAACACTCATTGTGTTCCACATTCGAATTATTGTTGAAAATTATTCGTATATGTCTGTTCATTAATGTTTTAATCATGATAGACTCTAGCTTGCATTATTTCCCATCAATACTTTAAACCATGATTCAAACATTACATATTTACTAACAACAAATGCAACGAGTTGTTTTGTTAATTGACATTTTTCTAAAAATATTTTTATTTAAGAAAAAAAAAAAAAAAAAATAGTGAAAAATAAATTAGACTTCACGTATTTTTAACGGATGATTAGGTTTTTTTCATACCAAGCAAAATGTATCTTCCCCAGAAGCTGTAAATATGAATTTTTAATTTCAACAGAATTTAAAAGTCTTCGGAATTATTTTGTATATTATTCAAAACAATATTAAAATATATACGCATAAAAAACTGTGCGTGTGCTTTGCCATTACAAGATTAATTCGGCCGGGCCTAACTTATAAAACCCTCCACCATTTGGAAGGAAATGGAAAAAAATTGTAATTGGAAAAAATCAAAAAAAAAAAAAAAAAAAAAAAAAACGAAAACTACAACCTAAATGAAAACCGTTATATAGGGACTATACGAAGACGTAGACTTGGACCTGGACCTTTTTTTGTCATAGGCTGTAATACCCATTACGAACTTCAAATACGAAATTTGAAATAATTTCGGTAAATAATGTCGCAAAAATCATGAAAATACCGAATATCGGGAGGTACCGTTATATGGGGGCTATACGAAGGCGTGAACTTGCATACACAAATTTTTGTCATAGGCAGTAGTACCCATTACGAACTTCAAATACGAAAATTGAAATAATTTCGGTAAATAATGTCGCAAAAATCATGAAAATACCGAGTATCTTAAGGTACCGTCATGTGGGGACTATACGAAGACGTGGACCTGCATACGAAATTTTTTTGCCATAAGTTGTAGTACCCATTAAGATCTTTCAATACGAAATTTAAAACTATTCCGGTGAATAATGTTGCTAAAATCATGAAAATACCGAATATCGGGAGATACCGTTATAGGGGGATATACGAAGGCGTGAACTTGCATACACAAATTTTTGTCATAGGCAGTAGTACCCATTACGAACTTCAAATACGAAATTTGAAATAATTCCGGTAAATAATGTTTCTAAAATCAATGAAAATACCGAATATCGGAAGGTACGGTTATATGGGGGCTGTACAAAAACGTTAACCGACATGGCTCATTTACGATCTTAACCTGTCTAATGGTAAACTATGCATGTATGCAAAATTTTAGCCTTCTATCTCAATTCGAAAGATAGCGTAATTACAACAGACAGACGGACAGACAGACAGACGGACATCGCTAGATCGTATTAGAATTTTACGCTGATTCAGAATATATATACTTTGTAGGGTCTATTATGAATATTTCGAGGAGTCACAAACGGAATGACAAAGTTAATATACCCTCCAAAAAATGGCGGAGGGTATAAAAATGTATTCAGGTTATTTCTATGCCCTACATTGGAACTTATTGTACTATGCTTCAAACTATGGAGAAAATTCCTCATTTAATTATATTACAATCCTGTTTTACATAGAAGACATTTCAGTAGGATTTCCTGTTTTTGTTCTTCTTTTGGTTTTAAGTAGTCTTAATAAAAAAAATTATGTAATAAGAGCTATACAATTGATTCATAAAACCGTACATGATTATAAGTATTATTCATAAACACCCACCTGTATAATTTGTTGAAATCACATCATTTATAAATTTAAAGTAACGAAATTCAATATGCGCTTCATTTGTATTTTAATAAAAAGTAAAGATTTCCATTTAATTTGAAAAAGAAAAAATACATTTCATTTTAAAAGGTGTAATTTAAGATAGAAAATGATT